GAGTTAAACCACGACAGCAACATATGCAGCCCCAAAGTTCCAGGCTTCGTCTTCAGTGTAGAAGAGAGGCATTTGTGTAAAACAATCATCAGTGTCAGTTTGGTATTTTAATAGTAAACTCTGAGAGATGAGAAATTGAAGCAGTTGGGTGAGCTTAACCACCTACCAGCGTTTTATTTCTGACCAAGCCTGGCTGTGACATCAAAACCTACAATGCTTCGTCTCCACAAGTATTTTACAACATGCACTTTACTCACCTAGCTGTAAGAAATGTTTTCTTTAAATGAGTGTATGGTGTGAATGCCTTCCAGCAAGGGTATGGAATTTTCGTTAGCATTTCTTTGTTTAGGGAAAATTCCAAGCGTGCTTCCAGGGAAAATTTCTTACTGCCCATTTTACTTCTCACTCTTCAAATGGCACAGGAACTAGCAAGGGTAGATGATTTACATCTGCAAGTTTGGTTTCATAGGAAACCCCCACATGTATGCACACAGAATATTTTAAGGGGTTAAGAGGCCTTTGGTAACCCCATGTCTGTCTCCTGATTTAAAGTTCCTGTGTCAGCAGAGCTTTTAGCTCTCCAAGTCACAAAAGCTGTTCTACAGTGAAAGTCTGCCACATGAGGGTTTCGGTTACACTGGATTCTAGATTCTTACGGTTTGGTATTAACCTCTGAAGTCTGAAACGTACCAAAGCCCCAGTACCATAAGTTACATCTCTGCTGGAGTAATCTCCTTCCTTAAATCTAAAAAGGACAATTTACCTGTACCATGGACACCAAGCACAAGAATTTCCATCCTTCTGAACTACCCTGAGGGTGAATGGATACTGATATCCCATGCTATCATCACTGAAACAGAAAAGAACGCAACATGAAACACGAGCACTCGTTCAGACTGCCAATGACCTTCTTTCACCATGCTTCCTACGTCTGCTTTAAAAAATAACCACCAACACCCACCCCCAAAATTGTAATTTTGATTAGATTAGGCTATTAAAAACAAGACTGGCCTTTACCTTGCCTAAATTTGTCAGATATGAAGTATCGGTCACTGGATGAGAACAAACCAAGCAATTTGTGTAAAGCCGATGTTTAAGTGCAGCTGGAAGGTATACTACATTGAACTACTTTCAAAAGGGTTAGAAGTTATTTTTAATTATTGCCAGTATTAAACTGCAGAACTCCAAAATGACTTCTTACAAAAACAACCGACTATGGAATCTGCAGGCAGCAAGCATCTGGGGTAAATGCACACACAATTGCTCCTAAAGTTGTTGACATTTAAAGCTTAATTATACATTAAAAGCCATATGTTCATTAAACAGAGGTATTATAAATCAAATCTGATATAGATGAAGAGTTTTAAATCTCCTAAGCCACTCTACCCCACCGTATTACATAATTCAAGCCAAAGACTGAGCCAAACTCACCAGTCTTGTGCATGATTGCTAGCTTCCTGAGGCGGGAGAGGGCTAGCAAGCCTGGAAACCTGAATCCACACTGCATCATACAGGTCTTTTTTCCGTGTATGAACTGTACAAGGAACAATTAGGGGCATTCCAAAGAGACTAGGACGATTCTTCTGAGATGAAAGAAAATATAATTCTGTCCGCATCTGCATATGTGAAATAGAAGAATGACTCATAAGTATGCATTAACTCACATTACCGAAATTACTAGGATGCTGACCTTGTTACTTATTTCAGGCTCTGCTGATTAAAATAAACCATTAGTTCTATTAAAAGTACTCCAGCATTTTTTCCCAGTATTAAATACCGTCCATTTTGATCACTGACTTGAAACAGCATGGAAACCTTTTTGTATTGTATGATATTATGGCATGCTGTTTAGGCACTAGACCACATCAACATAAATCTGTATTTCAACCACGTACAATATTTTAGATTTGATATGATGCATATTTCTTTCTTTTCCCACCAAGTGGCAATAGTGTAATGCAGACATGCACCTCATGATGCTAATACCTGTCCCCACATGACCTCTACACTAGGCAAGCTTATGTTTGCCAGAGAAAGAAAACCTTTACATCTAAAGGAGACACTACAGCCTTGTACACAACTTAGTCCAAGCAGACAAACAAACCTTCATGTTACATCTATCCGCAGTTCCTGGAGGGATTTAAGAGACATGCAGACAAGATGCCCAGGGACACGGTTTAGCAGCGGTATGAGTAGTCTTGGGTTAATGGTTGGACTTGATGACCTTAAAGGTCTTTTACAACCTAAAAGATCCTGTGATCTCCCAATTATAAGACAGTTTTAACACATCAACTTAATGACACTGCACAGCAAACAGCTACCACCTTGACTAAGTTTTATACAATTAACCCTTCCCATTGATAAGATTTTTGACAAGCATGGATTCCTGGAATATCTTCCACAAACAGCTTTTACTGGTTTCTAAGCTTTATAACTAGCAGCTTGTAATGGCTCAAAAGCATTATACCAATCACCTACGAGATTCTGCAAAATTTGAATCAAAGTAACAGTGACAACAGTGATTAGTGGCCACTACTTGAGAGAATAAAGCAAAACAGTCTCATACAAACACACAGTAAAGCAGGGTGTTAAATGGTCTCCCGGCCCACACCTATGAGGCTCTAAACATCAACACACTCTGAAGTCTGGGCACCGTGCGCGCAGAACGCGTGGCTATTTGAGGTGTTCAGTCATGCAGCTTTGTAATTTGCAGTTCAACCTAACTACAGATGCTTTTGCAAAGAGTAGTTCATGTTAACAGCATGACCCAGGAACGTACTCTGTATCTTGTGATCTACTCTAGGGGATCCTGCTCTGGCGGGAGGGGTTGGACTAGGTGATCTCTAGAGGTCCCTTCCAGCCCCTACCACTCTGTGACTCTTCACTGTTTCCATATAAGAAATAAGGCTTTTCCACGTAATGGGAAAGAAATGCATTTCTAGTAGTCCTCTAATTAGATTTTTTTTTCTGCTCAAAGAATCTGAAACGTTTACTCAGGGAGTCAGCAAATGTCCAAGTATGCATCTCAGCATTAAAGAGCTGGGAAGCATGCCAGAACTAAGGAAAGAGAAAGACACCAACATTAGACATCATGATTTGAATTTGCAGGAGTTGTGTTTCTGTAGAACCTGGCATTCACTTAAGAGGGAAATGTATTCATGCTCACTCTTCTTACGAACTAAAGATTAGTTTATCATTTGGACATTAAAAAAATCCTCACTGACTTCTCCTCAGCATGTCACAAGAACATTTATAACAAATGCAGTATCTACTAACCATTTTTCTGTGGACTGCAATTATATACCCTGTACATGGACTATCAGAAAGCAAGGGCACATGACCGTTGAGAGTCCAGTTGGCAAGGTTACGCTCTGTTCCGCATGGCACTACAGTATTTGGCATTCCGTTTGGAATTAGGGTTGGTTTAGGAAGGTCCCCATTCATCATTATGTTGGGTGCTCCGTTAGCTGATGGCCCCGTTGAGACATCTGCAGATGGACAATGACATTCTCCGTTATCTACAGAACCAGAACTGATACAAGATCTTTATTCTTTCCATTCTGTTCAATGCATTTCATTACACATCATCTACTATCCTTAAGACCAATATCTAACTTTTTATTTGCCCACAACTTCGCAAAATCAGAGCACACAAGAGCAAAGAATAACAGAGGTGTTTACAACCCATATATGAAACCACAAAACCAAAACTGAACAGTCTACTTTCAATTTTTTATGTCCTGCCTTAGAGCCAAACTGCAAGTAATAAATTTTTTTGCTTGTTTCTTGTGTCTTTAATTAAAATAAGCATGTAGCAATCATCAGACTGCAATCCTGGGTACGATCCTAAAAAAGGATCAGGCCATCAGTTGATACTGAGGCTGCACACAGCTTCTCTCTGGATCAGCACTCTGACTTACCTGTCTTTAATCCTCATTGTTTACTTATTAGACAGTAATAAGCTTTTCTTCTGAATTTCTCCAGTACATAAGCACTTTGCATTTTAAGTGAACAGGAAAAAAATGACGTTTTCTCTTACCTGTCTGCACAGGACTTGATGCTGATGTAGGGGATCCTGGAATTGGTATTTCAAACGCACACAGAAACCCACTTACTGATAACCGGACTTTCTGGTTGTCCTGGGGAAAGTTCTTCAGTAAAAAAAGGAAAATTAGTCAGACATGTATGTACTTGTACCTGTAACTCCAAACATGTTTTGTTCTTTTGAAACAGTGCATCTATCAGCTCATCATTCCCCTCCTATCTTTCTTACACCTTTCTAGAAGGAAAAAAGGGAGCCAACAAGCACACCCCTTTGCAGATGGCTGCAACAAGACCTGAGAGATATCAATGGTTCTCTAATCAGTCTGAAAGCACCTAGTGCCAAGCAGTTTTAATCCTAATTCAATCACAGCAAGAAAGTTATGTATACCCACATATACATGCACACTGTAGAGAACTAAGCCAGTCATTACTTATTCCCCCAACATCTTGCCAGTGTTGAAACTCATTACAGCACTCTAACTTGAGTTTTATTACCTCAAGATGATCTTATCCTTTTTTTACCTAAAAATATCATTGGCAATCAATTCAATTAAACTTCTGCAAGCTTCTACATCACTATCAATTTTGTTTACAAGTGGTTTATTTTGGTTCAGTTTACTTTGATTTTAAACCTATTTAAAGCAAGCCAAATTATGGTTTAAGAACAAAGTAAGAGTCCATATAGAGAGAGAAACTGAGTTTTTAATCACACATTTAGTTAAAATTATTCCATAGTTCTTGTAAGCAAAGCTTAGTGTCAAAAAGAATGAAGAAGGATGTTGATGTACACAAATAACAAACAAAAATATCAAAAGTATCTTGCAGCAATGACTAATTCTCTTTTCTTCTTACCTTTATATTGGAGCTATGCACTTCTGCAAGCAGAATCTGTTCTGGTTTTAACCCACAGAGTTCACTTAACTGTTTTTTCAAACCTGTATACTTTTCATCCATGTTCAACCTCAGGCCGTATCGAACAGGAGTAGTACCATCTAGTTTAATTACTTCAAAGGGGAAAAGAGACACACTGGTCAGCAAACCAGGAAAGTTTTAATATGATTATTTCTTTCTTATCAGGCAGTTTTCAAGGTCTGCAGACAAATGCCAGAAGCTCCTGTACTGTACAGGCAGTAGGAAATTATTTCAAAGTATGTTTTACTTTTTATCATCTGTCCTTTTGCCTATTTTCCAACAACACATGGGTTCTTCATAGCATCGTTCATGACCCATAAAGTATTTTCAAATTTGTACACTCCTCTCAGCCCTTCTTTTTGCCACAGGCAGATTTAGGACAACCTCCACAACATAAATTTTCAGTGTACAAAAAGAAAACTCTTAAAATCTCCATTTTACATTTTTGTGTATTACATCCTTTAGTCAAGACTGAAAATGGGCCACCCATGCTGTTTTTAAAGGCTTTAGTTTCATTCCAATTCAAGTTCTTGTACTGCATTATATTAAAATGCTTATGGCATTTTCAAACGTAAGTGCTAACACAAACAAAATTTGGATGTTCTATAGCTGTTGAAAATCTGTTCTATGTATACAATTTTTATTTTACCACTGACGAGTTTATAGGGAGATAAACAATACTACTCACCTGTAATTTCGAGGTGCATATAGCTATCCATCGGCAAAGGCAAGGATAAAAAATTAAAAGGGTCAAATCTAACACTTATATGTCCACAAGTTTTGCATTTTACTTGTGACTTCAGCTGCCCATGAAATAGATCTACAACAATGGATCTGTTTCTTCTCAGGTGGTTTTCCCAGGCCTAAAATGAAGTATAAAAAAAGAATATAAAGTTAGGAACTGAAGACTACTTGTTTGAACGACAGGAAGGAGGATATGCTGGCAGACCTCCAAAGTTTCATTGGCCAATGAAGTGTCATATAATTTCCATGGAACTTGTTTATCAATTTCTAATAAATAGGAAGTATTTAATTTCAACATGAGTAAAGAAAAGTTATTTCAATTAACACAGTAATCAAAGTATGACAGCACTTAAAGTACTTCTGAAAGGATCATCAGGCATCTTAAAAAATCTTGACACTGTAATTTTGAGGAGTTGTTCAAAATGATTGTGAAGTATCATCTTTATACCTTTATTATAATTAAAATTCATTTTCAGCTCAAAAGTGAAACTGCCTCCTTAAACCACAGATCTAACAAGTTCCAAAAGAAAGTACACTGAAAGAATATTACACAGTCTCACCAACAACTTAGAAGCTTAGTACTATAAGGAAAAATCCCCAAAACTATCAAATAACCAACCCCCAAACCCCAAAATTTTAACCCATACCTCTGCCGCTACTTCCCAGTCTGGCCGACCATCGCTGTCTTTCAGTTCCACATATGGCTTATCATGAACTCTGTTCAAATCCTCATGAAGACCATCCAAAAGAAAAGCCAGAAGCTCCTGCGAGTCTTGCTGTTGAAAGCCATTAAATCTTGGTGCATATTTTGCTATTGTCCACTATAAATAAATCCAGAAAGTTATTTAACATCATGTAACAAAAATTGTAACAATTAATCAAAATATTGTAGACTACATGATGTCAACAAGCACAAATTCAATTGCCAGCAGTTAAAGGTAACTGCCAATTCTTTCAGAACAAATGACCGTTCACAGGCCAACGTGTAGTTTTTGTCCCTTACAAGGGCTACAAAAGCCACATCTTATACCACAACCTCTGATTCATACCAGGTAACTCCTTTGACCTTACAACCACCAAACAGTGACTATATTCCACAGAAAGCTGCTCAAGTCCTGAGCATGAGGAGTGACGAACCCTGGCCTCCTCCAGATGTGCACCTTGCCTCTGCACGGCCCCTTCCTGAACACCTCCCCTGTATTCCTTACAGGCAAGAAAACAAATTGCATAACCAGTTTGGAGTAATGTAAGTGATGACTGACTGCCCAGGATATGGCTGCTGGCTTCACAGCCAACTTCAAACACAAGAAATACAGGCACAGGTTTCCTTCCCTTTCTCCAGGGAAAATGTGGTTTGACTCCCAGAACCATTACAATACAGGTAAGGTCAGGAAAAAGCACATTAAAAGGTTTCTGCTCTCCAAAGAAATTGCCTTCTACCCATAAGTAATGCACATCACAGACTCACCCGCAGCTTTAATGGTGCTATATTCTTCTGAGTGCCACTCCACAACTCCTGAACCAAATCCCCATAGCACTTGGCCATGTGTCCTTTCATTCCTATTGGATTTGTCCTAGAAATCAAGGTAATTAACACCATACTAAAATTTAAACAAAGTTCAAGCATGGGGATAAACAAGGAAGTGCAAAGGCTTCTTGCTGAACTGGTTTAACTCTCTCAGAAACAAGAGAGGTTGTACTTTCATGTATCTAATCTTCTGTCTGCTGTATGGCTGACAGTTCATGACACTGAACTTAAAAGGATTTCCTCATACTGTCTACTTGCTGAAAGCTGAAACTCATTTTAAAGAAATGTTACAGCATCTAAAATGCCAACGGCCTGAAACAGAAAATTACCTGTTAAGTTCATAAAGATGTCTTCCTGAGATGAAATACCGTGTTAGAGGTTGCGTATTACTGACACACTGGATACTGGAGTTCATGAAACATGTGTTACCCAGATTGCTTAATCCAGTAGCACCCTTTTCAGTAGGAACTGAGGAAAAGAAAACAATTACACCAATTCAGCAGATGGGAAAAACTCAGAATGGTCTATCAATAAATTAAGAATGTGACCTTTTCACAGTGACCAATTCAATCTAACCTGCTCCAAATTATGAGACTACAGCCAGTACAGATGCAACAGAGGACCAGCCTGTTCAAAACATCTGCTCCCTCAACTCTACCCAAGTTAGCAGAAATTGAGGTATTTTGTTGGATCTGATCCACCTCGGACATTAGTACAACCCATACAAACTATTTTCAGGTAAATAATCAGGGTACTGACATTTCTAAGTTAATACGTGAAAATCTCAACCATTCCTCACCTTAAAACAATCCAAGATAATAAACACAAAATCCAGAATTCACTATGTGCCATTTGCTACTGTGGCATCTGATCACCTACAATTTTATTTACCTATACATCCAGCCCTCCCACATTTCCAGCATCTAAGCTAATAAAACAGAAAGAACAAGCAAAGCAGCACAAGCATAAGAAAACCCTTTCCCATGTTAAGAGCACTTCTATTAAAGTGTTTCAACATAATACAGCCTCTTAAGATTTTCCAGCTCATCATAATTCAATTACTGTGCTGAAACACTCACCTTTATGTCTGTCAATTTTACTGCTGTTCGCTATGAAAGACATCTCTTCTGGCCAGCTCATGTCTTTGTTTCGAACTAGAAAGAGATATGGTATTTAAAAACTGTTACTTACTCCAGGGAGTTTATACAGCTGAAGAGGTTTAATTAAAATCCTGTAACATTTAACTGAGATTAGAAATTTGCTTATTTTTAGTTATTATTTTGCTAGTTTTCATTTCAATGCTTCTGATTACCATTATTGGAAATCATTCTAATCCTGGCATCATTCCAACCATGCCAGTAACATCTTTAGAAAGCAGTCTTGAGGTTTCTCTCCTGCTGGTTAACAACTTCTATTTAACAAAATTTTTTCAATACTTAATAAGGATCCCTCAGATTTGAACAAATCTGTTCATTTTGTGAGCAATCGATCACCAACGTTTTTTGTCGTTATGAACCAACAAGATTCAAGTGTATTTCAAAATAGGGACAAATGATATGTGTTTCAAGCAAAGGGGGACAAACAAATGCAAGCTTTCCTAAACTAGCTTTACCAGCACCCCTCTGGAGGAACCCTCAGTAAATCTCTGTCTCATGGTGACAGGAGCCTTAGAGCCACCTGCCTTAAGGAACTGAGCCAGCTGCAAAGAGGAAAAGGGAGATACTTCTCACAGGATCACTGCTCACAGCCAGCTCATCGGATAGGTGTCAAGTAGTTGGCCATAGGTAAGGCAGGTGGCATGATACAGAGAGGAAGGACAGACTGCTTCTTTTGGTGGCAGTGTTGGTTTAATTCTAGTTTGGTTATTGAAGTACGGCCGCGGGATTCCGTTTCACCTGATGTGGGAACGTGCAGTTCCTATTCCCTCTCTCTACCTATAAACTCCCATTTCTTCTCTTGTGTCTAGTGATTAATGCAGATATGCAGCAAACTGCATCAGCTGCTCTGCCTGTTTTAAATTGATTAGGTATGAGCTGAGCACAGTGGCAGAAAGGGTGACTCCATCCAGCACACCAGCCTGAGGTGCAACATAAAGCTACGCTACAGGAAACTTTGTCAGAAAGAACACAAGACCCAGGTTTCCACACAGCCTCTGTGATGTAAGGACAACACTGGAGTGCATTAAGTACGTCCGCTTCTGTTAAAAAATAAGCCCAAAAAGATCAAACTAGTGGCAAACTCAGCTGATCCGTACACCTCCCTCTGACAAAGGCTGCATTTATCTGTGACTGACAGCGCCACGTAGAGTAGTAGCACACGGCAGGAAGATGAGACACAACGGCCGTAAATCGAAACAAGACAGGTTGAGATATTCATTTCACCATGAAAGTCAAGTCAAGCAGTCAAGTCCAAAATCATTAGGTTCACTCCAGAGGTGAAAATAAAAGTAGCTTGTAATGAAAATCTTAGAAATTAAGCTGACATGAACTGAAACATGCAGTTTTCTTCACCTTTTGTGCTGCGAATGTGTTCATGCAAATATCATAACCTGAACTCTTGCAAAATTAATGAAAGAAAAATCAGATAATAAGAAAGCCTCCAATGACTCATACCACATTTGTTAAATCTCCAGTATTTCAGTTATTACTGCTGTAGGGACAGTAGATTATTTAAAGTTGTGGTATTTCGTCCTGTATTGCTTTCAGTACATATGCATATATGGAGAGAAACCTATTTACACATGCTCTTCCTACTCAAAACATTTCCAAAAATAAAATATTTGCACAGTAGGCCTATTTATTTGTGTAGATTGGGCAATTACAGAAATGGGTACTACATGCAGTTTATTAACCATATATATACACTCATATAAAACAATTTGGTTTTAGTGTGTAAATCAATTATAGTCCTTTTTTATACCTTCTATTACTAAATGCTGCTCATCTTGGATTTTAAGATATTCCAGTCTGTGATCTTCATCATCCAGCAAAGTAAGATAGTTCTGCAGAAAAAAATAATTCATATAGTTATTACCTCTGGATTTAAAATTCTCTGGGGATATTTTAATTATGAAGCAATGAAGTTAATACTGTTTTAACACTTTCTTCACAAAAATAAGAGGACTGGTTTCCTACCCATGTTAATTAAATACAGTAGTTCACTGATCTCCAGAAGCATCTAGTTCAGTGCTTAAATTTTTTGTGGTATTTCTTTAGAATGTGAGAGTTACATGCACTTTATGATTTGGAGAAATGCATTCTGGTTGTCCACTGTGATTTGTTTACGTACACATTTGAAAAAAATCCTGCATAGCTGCTGCCTGCTGCACCAGCAGCAGCCTACAGCATCACGCATGTCAATCAAAGAATTTATTTTTATTTTCATTTAAAACAGTTTCTATGGAACTTCCTATCAAGCCTTTTAGAAGGTCAACCAGTTGCCAATTTTTAAATACATCACAGGGTATTTTAATGTTTATCAGGCTACTACGAAAACAGAAGATAGGTTTTCTAGGTCATAAACACCAAAACCTAAATTTCACTACTTGGAATGCACAAAAAACTCTAGAAAATGCGAGGCAAGAGTTTTCCCACCTGGGCAGTTAGTTGCAAAGGAAACTAACGTCCACTTTTTTTTTCCCCTGTGCATGTGTATTTAGCAGTTTCTAGAAAATACTAAGACATACAGTATCCAATAGCTGATTAAAAAAACCCAAAGAAAACCCCACACAAGAAAAAAGACCAACATTACCTCACTGTTGTATAACCAGAGACGCATATCTTCTTCTTTGATACGTAGCCTCTGGGAGAGATATTCATGTATCTCTTTAATTGTCTGCATCCGACTGAAGCAGCCAGTGTAAGCCAATACTCTTTTTAAAGGAGCATTCGGTGAAGGTACATTCCCTGGATTCACAGTCATAAAGAACAGGGTAAAAGATAACATGTATACCCACAGGCCAACTGAAATCCCACCAAGGACAACTTATGCTCTATATATACCATGAGTACCTTCTGTGACAAAGTAGTACACAGTTCCACTGCCTTTGTTTATGGATAAAATAATGAGTTAGATTGAAAGCTCGTTGTTCCTAACCCTCTGAGTCAACAAACTTGGGATCACAAAGAGGATAAATTTACCTCCCTTCTTACCAAAACCTACCTAAAACCTGCTCCCCTATGACTGGACTATTATTTTTTCCCTCTTAAAGACAGAGACAATAGTAATTCTTCAAAACAAAGGACTTCAAAATTTCATGAGAATTTTCTTTTTGGGAGAATCTTATAAGTGAAAAACAAGGTCAAAATCAGACTGAAAGTTCTTGGCAGTAGCATGACTTCGCTTCATCTCTTCTATGGAGATGCATGCTGATCTGTGAAGATGATCAGCCTGGCATTTTCACAATAAAGTATTCTTAATAACTAAATTCCCCAAAACACATTCTGTGAAGATGCCTAGGATTTTTACCAGAATTTCTCAACAATCTCACGTTTGCAAAACAAATTAATTCCATCAGCTGAGATTGTTGCTCTCTTCTATAATATGAACTCATCTTTAAATAAAACATTTTCAGAAAAGGTGAGACCAACTTTACATGTTTTATTTTTTTGAGCTTCTCTGAGCTTAAACTAGAAAGTTTCCCACTCCTCCAACAGACAAGTCTGTAACTTATTAATGAAAAGCTTTTATTATACAGCCAAACCCAGCTGGGCAACTGCATTCCTTAAGTAACCAGAGAAGTGACCCTGTTCTACTTTCACTGTCAAAAGATTAAAATAAAATAAATAGTACCATATGAAAAGATGCAGTATTACATGCAATTTGACAAGAGAGTAAAACTATACTGTAATCATCTTATAAGTCAGCAAAGCATCAGTTTTGCTTCAGTGTACCAAGCAAAGTACTATTTTTAAAAGAAAACAAAAAAGCATTTTCTGAGATTAGGGATCAGAGGATTAGTTGTAAGATTACAGCAAGAAAGCATATATGAAAACTCAAAAAGATTAATAACTGATTGGACAAATAAATTAGTGCAGAGCAAAACAGTTCCAAATCAAGATCAAATTTGGCATATCAGAAGATTCTTTTTATTTGAATTTAGGCATTTTAGGATGTCCAAACAAAGCAGTTTCCATTTTATGAGGTCAAGTAGGAAAGATGAATTTGGGTAGCAGGCAGTTTCTGTAGCAGAACTTCATCAAGCAGGCAGCGACTAGCTACACGTTGTGTTTGAGATTCTACAAAGCAGTGAAAAACTGAGCATCTGCATGAGGTTTTTAAACACAGGCTAACACTAGCAAGGCTAAAGGATTTAATTTTCAGTAGTCAGGTAGGCCCATTTCTGGACGCAGGTGGATGCCTATGTGTGTACCCAAACGCCCATGCATGCGAACATCAGGTATTTTTTCCAACCTATGGTGCAAGGCAAGTATGCAATTGTGCAAACCAACTGAACACAAATCCTGCAGTGCTTTTCAGCTGAAATGTGAAGCTGCAATCTAAAGATTATTCTTAGAGCCTGTTACTGTACCATCTTTTGGTGAGCATTACCACCACAATTACAGCACATATATTTCAGTTGATGTTTACACTTTCTGCTGAACTGTCTTTCCAAACTGTAGCAAGTAACAGTCTTCACATTCCGTTAATTCAATCCCTGCCTAAAGGGTTGTAAATAATTTGGGGCACTAAAGTGTAGCTGCCCAAGTAACTCAGAACCAGCTGGCTGAACAATGAATTAATTTCTTATACCACTGTACTGTCAGATACACACACCCATCCCAACACACAGACACATGCACCTATGGCTCAAAATTAACTACCACCAGGATTAATCGAATCTGCCCTTCTTGGCCGTCTAGTTCACGCAGTGCTCATTTCTCACTTACAGCTCACCCATCTATTTGCAGTAACTACGCAACTTCCCCGACTTGACTGAAAATGCTCCCTCATGCCTCTTCATTTCAAGAGAAGATAGGAGGAAAGCCTTTAAATCTTTACCAAATGCTGATTGTGCCTTACAGTTGATTAGCTGGTGTACAAGCACAGTGGCAGCAAGCTTCTACAGCTGCAGGTCTCGCTTTCTTAGAAACTGCACGCTTGTATTCTTGCTGCATTCTTAAGTTACCTCTAGGTAAATGCTGAGGAAACATTCTCAGGCTCATCATACCCATATTCACCCAGATGTTTGACTGCTGCGTTCGAGTGGCAGGCTGCTGTCGCAGGAAGAGCAGGTAGCGAGGAAATAACTCCAGTTCAGGCACATTTGTTTTGCTGTTTCGGATCACCTAATAAAGACGTTTAAAACATACTTTAGAGATTGCTGTTCCAAATGTGCAGGAAATCCCAGTAAGAACAGGAATTAATCATTAAAGCAGATGGTTAAAAAAATAATCTATGCTCTACTAGAGACAAGAAATCCTCTGAAATTCCTATGGGGTCTCAGGCAAATATCCACAAGAAGGACAATTTACTGATTTCTAAGGACCTTTTGAAGCTTATTAGTTGCAGATTGTCAAAAGCAAACACCTTATTTAGTGGAACATAGGTTCCCCTACAACATCATGGAAAGAACATTTTTATAATTGCTGCAATATATGTGACTTCACAATGAACCTCATTAATTCTACTCTATACTTCAATACATAAGTTTCACAACTGTTGAAAATATCCTCGCCCATGCTGAGTAAGACATTTGTTCTGAACTTCATTTGAACTACAGGATTGAATTAAAACCTTCATATTTTAAGAACAGACTGAAACTTATGTTTGTTGTATTTGATACATTGACAGAAAAAGCTGTCAACATGCCTTGCAGCATTTCAGTCACCATTTCTACAGAGATTTTACTCTCTGAGTTCACCCAAATGTGGACATACATAAATAGCATGAATGTTCATTATTTTTGCGACCATATGAAACTGAAGAAAACATTCAGCTTAAGTTGTGAAAAGCAATATAATGCACTGAGGTGTCATGGTATTAATCTTAAGTTAAAGCAAAAAAAAAAAAAAAGATGACACCTGCTGGTAAGACAGAATACAGTAGTCCTTGCTGCGGGGTTGGAGACTGGCACTCTAAGCATCAGTATACATGATTGCAAGTAATCAAATGATATTAAAGAATTCAAGTGTTCAGATGACTAAATTGTAAAACATTCCTTAATCATAGACTGAAAAGCAAAGTTCATATATACACAGAATCACAGAATGTTCTGGATTGGAAAGGACCTTAAAGAAATCTGCCGTGGGCAGGGAC